CATTCTGGACCAGTTGAAGCTTCCGGGTGCTCTTCAAGGGCAGCCCCATGTAGAGAGCGTTACAGTAGTCTTGGTGAGAAAGGACAAGGGCATGAGTGACTGGACAGAGCATCCCGATCCAAGTAAATACATCCTGTGACTGGCTCTGCCCCCATCTATTCTCTGCCTCCCCAGTCCCAGCTGATCCAGAGGAAATGGAGATTTTGCAGTAACCTTCCCCTGGAGTGGGGTGGGAATGGAGATTTTACAGTATCCTTCCCCTGCCATGCTCACCAAGCCACGCCCACCTAGCTACACCCAGAGAACCAGTAGTGAAAAAAATTGAATCCCACCACTTACCCCTTAGTAAACAATTAAGACAGCAACCACCTATCAGCTTCATTAGAGAAGCAGAGTCAAGACTGATTGTGTAGATACAGGCAAATTATGCTGGCAATATTTTGATCTGCTTTACAGACTGTGAAAAAGTACATTAAACTTCACATGCACCATTAGCACATTGAAATATAACTAACATAATTTCCCCCAAATTTGACTGGCTCCAACAGAATGACATTAATTGTAGTTATGTGAAGCATAGGAAGCACACGGACATCCATAATAATGTCAAATAATGTTGGGAAATCTGATAGGATGTGAAGATTACAAAGAGAAAAAAAGACAAATGGCTTCTATGGCTAGATTCTGAGTCTCCCCCCCACCAAAAAAACCCACAACATTCCTAATCAAACTTCAGCATCCTCATGTTGAAGAAAATATGAGCAATTCTTTCTCCATATTACACTAAAGAAACCTTCATTACAAAATATTCAAATAATCACTCTTTTAATTTTTTTGGAATAGTGCCGTCTCGGGACCATAGCATTTGTTTTTCTTTCATCCAGATTAGAATAGCCATGAACTGTACGTATGTAGTAGCTAAGTGATAAAATATTTATGTATAAAACATGTCAAGATTGCACTTTATAATGAGGATAGTTCTGAATGTTGATTGGATTTATTCTGCATTTATTTTAATTTACATTAAAAACAATTACATTGACCTATTTTAGTAAATATGTATTATTGTGTTTTGCATATATTCAATTTATCATAATAGAAAGATTCATGATCAGGCAGCCTGTAGTGCAGAGTCTATAACTGGAGAATTTCAACATCCCCTCCCCCCTCATTTTTTTAAAACATGGAAATAGAAGTGATCTTCTTTGAACTGGAGGATTGCTCTACTTACCTGAAAGACTAGGGGTTTTTTAAATCAAATATTTGGCACACATAAGTAAATAGTTTATTATAGTCTTAGACAAGAGTCATAGACATAAGAGCATCTATGAAATATAACGTCTAATGGCTAGTATAATAGAATGAACTTTATTAACATCAACTTACGCTCTTAGAGGATAATACATTGCTGCAAATGGTTGTTACTAGGTAACAGTTTTGCAGCTGTATATGTCAGAGTTGGATTTTTATCAGACAATAGATAAAGAATATAAAATTTGTCGGGGTGCCTGGCATTTTGCTAAGTAGAAGTTCAAATGACTTTCAGTATAAAATGTATTACATTTTCAATCAATTCTACCTCTCCTAGGTCCAATGGGATAGTTTTTGGATGACTGCTGTTTTCTTATATCTACCACCTAATATAGTCAAAAGGATGGCACCAAAGCAAAAAAAAGTCCAGCAAACTTTGTAATTTGGATTGACATGAATTTAGGTAGTCGGCTGGAAAGCGATTAGATTGATTTTTGTGGAATTGAAAAATCTTGTAATTTGGCCTAATTTGTATTGAAGCTCTTTGCAAGTACAAGTTTTAATGTGAAGTTACAACAGCACTGAAAACAAATTAATTTACAAACGGGGCTTACACTTACAACTGGTTCTCGCACTTACAACCATCACAGCATCCACATGATCACATGAATAGTCATAATCAAATGCGGTTGTGTCAAGGGCTACTTCTCTCTCTTTCTCTCATCCCTTTATCTACCTAGCAAAGGAGTTGTTTCTTTAGCAGCTGCAGCAGCATTGTAAAGCTGTATCTTATTTTGTCTTTCAGTGGACACAAACTGGCATTGGTAAATGTTTGTACTATTTTATCAAAATCATCCTTTTATTGATTTCTATGCAACATTTTCTTGGCAAGTAAAATGGAATAGCATTTTAATTTTAATTTTTTCCATTATTTTTTTTAACTACAATCAATCTAATCTTCATTACTCTTAAAAACTCTGTTGCCTAATATGCATTTTTTATTTTAAAAAAATCTCTTAGTATATTTTTCATTATTTATGGAAATCTATAATTTTAGCAGAATGCTACATTTGTAATAGGAAAGATTTAAAAAATACTTAGAAGTGAAAAAGGTTGTGGATCAAACTGCATCTTACATTCTTCCAGTACTCAAAGGAAGGAGATGAATGAAATATCTCCATATACCCGTGATGGCAAACCTATGACATGCGTGCCGGATGTGGCACACAGAGACATTTCTCCAGGCACACCAGCTGTCTCCCATTGCTGTTCCAGTGCCGGTCCACCTGCTCCTTGCATGGGCGGGATCACTGGAAACCAGAAGAGCAGCTCCCTGGCATGCATGCACGTGCCGGGAAGCTGAGCTTTTGGTATCCAGTGAACACACACGCACTGACTACCTGCTCTTCGTGCACGCATGCACATAAGAAACCAGAAGACCAGGTGACCAGCATGTATGCGCACACTGGAAATCAGAAGCTCAGCTTCCTAAGCTGCTCTTCCAGTTTCCAGCGCTTTCACACATGTGTGCCTGGTAGCTGCTCTTTCGGTTTCTGGCGCTCCCCCACACTCCCGCAATCCCATTTCGGCACTTTGTGCCGAAAAGGTTCACAAACACTGCCATATACCATAAAATTAGCATGTGCTAGAACTGAGTCTTAGGAAGAGGTACAAAATAATTGCTTTTTGGAAGAAATTAATGGCACTATGTCTTCTCTAAAAATAGGAGTAGAGAATAGGAGTCACTGTACTAATGTCTTCAGTCTTTAACTTATGCACAGCATGTGTACATGTAAAAATACCTTACAGAAATGCCATACATTTCCATGCACAGTGTATCAATAGATTAAACTCTGGATAATAGCTCCTTATTGCTAGTTTTCATGTTAACCATAAACATTGATATTAGTTATTTTATCTTAATGTTTCCATCATGGATACAAAACAACATAAGCAATATAACTTCTCATCCTGATTTTTCCTTTAATTCTTTCTGCAGTATTCCCATCGCCCAACCATTTTAAATGCAACTAGCATCCGACAGGTCACTTCACAGACAAATGTTAATCGCATGTGGCAAAATGACCTTCATCCAATCCTGATTGAGAGATATCCAGGATCACCTGGGAGTTATGCTGTGCGACAGGTAAGACAGAACAAGTTGTACCTACTGATAGAGGTAAAATAATTCTACAGGCATAGAGAAGATAGAATAAGTACACTGCAATATAAATGTCACAGAGGTAATATCATTGCAAGAAAATTTTAAAAGCCTTCTTAAATCAAGCCAAAGGCCATCTATCCACTTTTCTATGTCATAATATGACAACTAATGATTCTAAACAGGAGGTTTAGAGACAGACACAAAGGCAATAACTTTTCAATTGCTTCCCTCTTCCTCCACATTTTTAAGCTATGCTGCTTATTATTCAGGAGGTGGTATACAGGTGTAGAATTAGTAATCATTAATTGAAACACAGTTAATGCTCCTGGAATGGAGAAAGTAATTATGTTGTCAGCATTAATGATAGCACAGGAAATAGCCACTAGCAACTAATATATTTCAACTTGGGGAAGAACTATACTTTACAGTCATAAAATACAGTCGCAAGTAAGCAGGACATTTATTATGTTAAATTCTGATCAATTGGAGATGTTGTCCAAAAATGATGGTGATTCTTAGTATAGTTGGAATATGATGATATATAAGCTCGATGATCTGCAATTTATGAAGCAAAAAAGGCAGATAAACGCTTTCAAAGAATATCTACTAAATGCTTGTTTCCTAGGAGATTGCTCATAAATAGCCTAAACAAAAATAGTATCTCTTGTGCTGCAGTAATTAAACATATCCAAAAAAGAGAATGTACTACTGTTCCTGGAGAAGATCAGTACAGTTTCTGAAAAAAAAAGTTTTTAGTATGACAAATTCCTTTGATGTTCATACCACTGAAAATGACAAACCTAATTCAAGTCTCCCCTGCATATTAGGATTTCCAATCCCAAATTTATTTATTTCTGCCCATCTCAAACAATTAGATAATTAGCATTTACAGACTACCATGGGTATCACTGATAATCAACACCTATGATTATGTGTTCTGGAATTAATCCATATCCTAAAATACATCTTCATTCTTACAGGTAATCCCCCCCCCTTTTCTATCCTCTCAAAATCTCTGAAAGGTAAAGGTAATAAAAAGCTGCAAAGTGTTTAGTTTGTGATGGGCTATATTGGGGACCTTTCATGTACTTAGGCATGGGTTGCTGCCAGTGTGCTTGTTTTGCTCACACACATGTTGTTCGTTCGTGCACTGTTCAATGTAAATTGTTCTTCGCGCATGCACAGAACAATTTACAGGGAACTGCACACATGCAGTCACTAAAAAACAAAATGACAATGGCCCAGCGGCAGCAAGGGAATCGGTTCGTGGGCATGGCAGGCCTGGGTCACTGCCTGTCCTGAGACCCAGGCATTAATTCCACTACCGGTTCAGCTGAACCGGGCAGAACCTGAAGCAACCCACCTCTGTACTTAGAGCTTAAGATAATAATACTAAGATTGTTGCTCTAATAAATTTACCAAAAGGAAGATGCCTAAAGTAAAATTCTTCTTTTCTTTGCCAGTGTCTTTATACGTATACGTGTACATAATTATGTCTTTTGTAGCTTCATTCTGATTAGCAGTAAGTCCTGTTTTTCAGTGCATAGATTTGATTTTATAGAAGATACATTTTTCTAACTATCCTTCAGCAATTGTAACCCTGTTACTTACAGACAAGTATCAACATGTTCTGTAAGATAATGAAGGCTCTCTTAGGCCTTGATTGCAGCAACTCTTGAGCTGCTATAGAAATGAGCAGCTGAGAAAACATATTACTAAGGAAACATCCAAAGATATATCCTCAGATGGGGGAGCAGCAATTATATATCATTAAGTGACAGCAGCTGGGATTGAGAACCTCTTACTTTCATAAGTCTTTCTTGCATTTCAATCTGGAATTGCTGACTGAAGTCCATTTTTCTCATATTTTGAACAATTTCTATGCCTTAGATATTTTTAAAAGTTTCTATGCCTTCTGCAATTATGACCATAAAGAAAATGTAGTGGCTATAGAATCTTCTCATTCTGATTTTCCTTTAGTTCTTTCTGTAGAATTCACTGCAGAAGTACTCTTATTCAAAGCTCACAATGGCCAAAACCTTTAGATTTGTCCATATATACAATTGCCTCTCTGATCCGTTCCTTTGCAACATGAGGTAATAGAGGAAAAAAGAGATACCCAAGATGTGGGTGTATGTGAATGTACCAGCATTCTGAAAGAATCATTCTCATATTAAAAAGCTAAAAATGAGAAAGGCGTAAGTAAATACTGTATATTATCACATTTTCTTTGCCTGATGACCTTTAGATGTATTTGATAGTTGTTCCTAGATGCTGCAGATAACAGGTGAGCTGGCAGAAAGTTATGGGAATGCACCATGTTGAAAAAGGCTGATAAGAGCTCACTTAGTGCAAAATTTTGGTTTGCAGTATACAAACAGAATTCCAGCCTGAAACAGAAGACTTGTTCTGCTTCATTATCAATAGGCTAGAAAAGGTCTCCTGAAGAGAAATGTATTCAAAGCTGTGAATGAACATTTATTGAATAATAGGTTTCATTAATCTTCTTCAGGAAATTTGTTGGCACCTGCAGGATTGATTTGTAAGGGCTTACTTAAAAATTAACACTATTGATCACTATTGATTTTTGGTTCTATATATTTTAGCATATCAAGCATCGGTTACAAGGACTGCAGGCTGGCTGGCTTGTTGAAGAAGACACATTTCAGAGTCATACTCCTTATGGATACCGCACTTTTTCAAATATAATCAGTACTCTCAATCCCCTTGCCAAGCGTCATTTGGTGGTTGCTTGCCATTATGACTCAAAATATTTTCCGCCACAACTGGATGGTAAAGTGTTTGTTGGAGCCACCGACTCAGCTGTGCCTTGTGCAATGATGCTAGAATTGGCAAGGTCCTTGGATAAACAGCTTTCTTTTCTGAAGGTATTTGCTTTTTCTTCAAATTGCTCCTGCATTTACTGTGATTCTAAGGTGACACACTTTCCATTCTGTTTTCCACTCATTCCATAGCAAAGCAGCTTGCCACCCAAGGCAGATCTTTCTCTGAAGCTTATTTTCTTTGACGGTGAAGAAGCTTTTGTGCGATGGTCGCCTTCAGATTCCCTGTATGGCTCTAGATCTTTGGCCCAGAAAATGGCATCTACTCCTCATCCACCAGGTGTCAGGAACACAAATCAAATTCAAGGCATTGTAAGTAAAAACTTTACAAATAATGGATAAGGGATGAAAATGGCAGAACTATACAAAGTTTTTGGCGTAACGTTAATTTCTTATTTTATAAAATAAAATCCTATTAGTCCAATTTTTAAAATGTTATAATGATTGGGAAGAAAGGAAAAAAAATTGGAAGAGAAACAAAAATATTTTGCAATTATTACTTTAAATGGGGTTTTGAAAAGGGAAATTGTAGAGTGCTGTATTATTGGGGGCTGTGCTGTGAATGGTAGGGAAGAAGTCGCCTCCAAATGTATCTGTTAAGCAGGAAGAGAGGAAGATATTCTTTGGGGGACAGGAGACCCTTACAAGGGAGCTGTCCTGTTTCAGGATGAACATACACACAAAATTGAGTTGTAATCTGTTTACTTTTAAGTTTTTAAGAACTATTGGCTTTGGCAGGCAGAGCTCTGATGTGTGCAAGCACACAAGAACACTAACAAGAAAGTGAAATTTTGCCTGTCAGTCCAAAGTCAAATCAGATCATGGGCATATGTAAACCAGGAACAGTACAATGATCTAAGTGCCATGGAAAATAATCAGACAGCCCAGGCTTCAGATAACACATAGGACTGAGTAACATAAAAATGCCAATCCATGGTTAGAGTAGATGTTCCCAACTGAAAAACCAACTTCTTGTAGTTGCATTATATTAGCTAGTGTGAACAAGATTTAATTAAGACAGTTGCTATTTTTGCTTCTTAGTGTTCCTCTACTCCACTCTCCAGGGTTCACAGCATGTTTTTAAGCTGGGTGGCTGCTTGGGATCAGGATCTTTGTGTTTTACATTGTTCTGCATTTGTTCCAGATTATTGCTAGCACAGTCAGCCTTTGGTGCTTGATTGCTCCTGATTCCTGAGTCTGATATCCTTCTTGAGCAGGGTCCCCATGTCTGAGTCCTTGGATTTAGAGGAGACCATGTAGGCCTGAGAAATCTATCTTTAGAAACAGAGTTCTAAAGTTAATTACATAGCACATTCAAAATTTAGTACAAACTTTCTTAATGAAATTAACAAAATAGATTCTGCTCTTATTTTTGTGCTGATAGGCAATGATTGTTCGTATAGGAGCAACGTTTGTAGTAAAAGAGTCACTAGTCTAGCACAAAACCAAGTCCTTCCTATAAAATCCCAAAATTTTCAGTTCTTTTGTAGCCATACTCCTAGAGCACAAGGATATGAATAAAGAGCCATGGAATCTATGTTCTTCACCTTAAATATGAGTAGGTTTATGAAATGAATTGCAAGCATGACTTTCTAAACTATCATTTAGAATAACATTAGCACTTCGACATATACTATTTCACAGTGCTTTACAGCCCTCTTTAAGCTGTTTACACCATATTGCCCCCAACAGTTTTACTGACCTCAGAAGGATGGAAGGCTGAGTCAACCTTGAGCCAGTCAGAATCAAACTCCTGGCAGGGTACCGAGTTAGCCTACAATACTGTATTCTAACCATGGTGCCACCAACAGAATAAAACAATCTGCAATGAAATAAAAACTAATCAGATAAAACAGACAAAGGTAGAGTTAATTGATAAAACAAATATAGAGGTATGCCACTTAAAAGCAGTTGTCATCTGAAGTTTTTGTAGACATTAGTCAGAATCAAGTCCTTACTAATTACAATAAGAGTCACACTAAGGTTTGTGAGCAGAAGATTTCAATCTCAGTGAGATATTTCTATTCAACAGTAGAAGTACAGTAACATAAATATATTGAAATACTTGTCTGGAATTGTCAACATTCACTGATTTTTAGACAATCATTAATATTCTCTTATGGGTAAAGCTCTGAGATTGGCATTTAAAGGACTAACCTTGACCCATTTCCTGTAGGATCTTTTTGTGTTGATGGATTTACTTGGTGCACGAAACCCTGTTTTTCCTGTTTACTTTTTGAATACAGCTCGATGGTTTGGGAGACTTGAATCCATTGGTAAGAACATTTTACAAAATATACCAGTTTTACTAGTAAAGGGATATTTGCATCTTCTAGTTTTATACAGTAGAGTATTTCTAGCAATACCATGCTATCACAAATGTTGCTATAAACATCTTTTCCCTTTGAAGGAGATGTTTAAACAAAAATGCATGCATTACAGAAGTTTCAAGAAATTAGTCATATATACATATTTTTTTAAGATATTGTGGATTCTGTTGATTAAGATAAAAACTATACAAATGTTACCAAAACAGTACAATACAGATTAAGCAAAATATCTGTTCTAAGGCCATTTTCTGGGATACAGTAGCAATCATAACTATGAGTTTGCATTCACAAAGCATTGAGGGTGCATAGAATTCTGAAAACTCATTTTTTGCTTCAAAATGTTTTAAACAGATTGAGAACTTAAAAAAAAACAATTATTTGATATTCATAACTTGATACTTTAAAAAAAAATCTTGCAGAACAAAACCTTCATGATTTGGGTTTGCTACATAATTATTCTTCTGAGAGGCAGTACTTCCGAAGTAATTTACGTCGACATCCAGTTGAGGATGACCATATTCCATTTTTGAGAAGAGGTATGGATTTTTAAAATGTATTTAAATTGACATACATTCAGCAATATATATAGAAGTGTTATTTATCTATGCAAATCTTTCTCCAAACTTAAGGAATTGTACAAATGTTCATTCTTATAGAGTCAGGTCTGGTCACAAACCCATTTTTCAGAATGTGGTTTATTTTATTTTTGAAAAATCATAATATTAATGCAAGGAAGTCAGTGACTATAATTATGGTAATATTGCACAATTGTTTTTTTTTTCTCATCCCATTTCAGATTGTAAATTACATACAGAGAGAGAATGATAGACTGAGGGATCTTTGATCTTTTTTTCAGCATGGCAATACAAATTAACGGAAATACATTGGCAGGAGTCCCATCAACCGAGTATTATATAAACATAAAAACGTAAATGAAACATTTAGACCAATGTCTATTCAATTCACTTATACAAAGTAATTTTGTCAAAGGGTATACTTTTCAGTCTATTGCTCCAAATACTCTTCTCTGGGGCAGGGAGTGTTCATAAGTCTTGCCCTTTAGGATATTCAGGGGTCCACCCAGGGCACATATACAAAAGGAAAAGTTTGTGTCAGATCATTTGCCTCTGCCTGTGGACATACCTGTTCTAGAGGTAAAAAGTGGATTTGTTATTTACACACAGGACTTAAAAATGTTTATGTTTAAAGATAGATCCCACTTCAAAATAGTCTATTATCTCTGATAGGCAAAATCTATTGTTGATATGGCTAGTCTTTAAATGTTCTTACAATGTTAGCAGCAGTGGAGTTTTAGTAATGTTCTGATATTCAGTAGACTAAACAATGTGATTACAACATTAACACCATCATGCTTTCAATTTTTGTATTATACAACATTGTTGAGAAATAACAGTTGTCTCAAAAGTTGGACCAACTCTTCATCTTTTTGTTCTCTTATCCCAACAGGTGTTCCAATCCTACACTTGATACCTTCACCTTTCCCTAGAGTATGGCACACTATGGAGGACAATGAAGAGAATCTTGACAAGCCAACTATTGACAACCTCAGCAAAATTCTGCAAATTTTTGTGCTGGAATATCTCAACTTGGGATAACTGTTACCCTTAAATTAATATTTTGTTCTAAATACTTAGCTCTGTTTAGAATTCTTCCAAGAATAGGCTTTTACTGTAGACATAGCAATCAGATCTCTTACTTTATGCCTTGTCTGTGACAAAAACTGAACGATTATCCATCTAGATTTTATAATGTTAGTGAAATTTTAAAATTTATTCCTAAACAACAAATACTTGGCAGTGTAAAAGTTAATTATGTTATTATGAGAAGCTGGATGTAAAAAAAAGATCAAAACACCATTTTTAATTTAATTGACTTTTTAATTTAAAAATGAATGGGAAGTGTTTATATATCTTAGATGTTAACTTCTTTCTATTAATCTTTAATATACATGTTTCATAACTTGACTAACGTAATGTTAAAAAGAACAATTAAGCATCTCAGGGTGAGAATCTGAACACCTTTGACCTGCCAACTCACACATGTGCAGAAGACAAGAGCTGCAAAACAAACAACAAAAAAACTGTATGTGGCTTGTTTATTGCACTGCTGTTTGAATGATTCCCAAATATGATTTAAGGTGCCAATGTTGTAGTCTTCTATAGCTGTGAGTGCCAATAAAAAACAGGGAATTAACTGCCTGGACTACAATTCTGAACCAGGTATGCAAATCATCAATCTACATCTCATTAAATCATGATGTAAAATATATATTGGCTGATTAGTTTATCTGATGATGAGTGATCTTAGCATACAATTAGCCCTTAATTGACATTAATGATATTCGAATTTGCAAGTGAATCATAGATGGGTTGTAAAATCCACTGATATTATCAACATATTTTCAGGCTACATTTAAGAATTCCTGTCACCTTCTTCCAGTGCAGACATGAGTAAACATTTATTCCTCCATTTATTTCATTCTCTGAAAACCCTCAGAAAACAATGCCCAAAATGGCAGCATGATTCAACAGTTAATGATATTTTAAATATATACTTCATATTAATCTTGGCAACTACCTAGACAAGCCCTGTATTTTTCTTGTTAAGGTTTTTCAGAAGTGGTTGCCATTGCCTCCTTCCTAGGACTGAAAGTTACTGGCCCAAAGCCACACAACTTGCTTTGTGCCTATGGTAGGACTAGAACTCAATCCACAGGTTTCTAGCCTGTGCCTTAATCACTACACCAAACTGGCTCTCCTAATTAGTATATAAAATGTGTGCATTAATCTTAATACACTAATCAACAGTACTAAACAACTCTGCCTTGGAGGAAAAAATCCTTTTCATCGATTACATATCAGCACCACACATTGGCGTTAATTTGACAACATAATAGCTAATTTTATATAAGTTTGAGTTCCAAAACTGTAATTTTACAAGCATTGTTCATCTAAGCACATTTTTCTATAAGGATAGGCAATATGTGATTCTGTCAGCAGCTTAACATTTCTGACATACTAGGAGTTCAGTATAGATAGGAGGTTATATAAGATAGTATAAACACACTATAATTAATGGAGTAGATGCTGCACATATATGGTTGAACAAAACGCAACTAACCCTAAAACCATGCCTTTACAATCATATTCTATTCTTTCGATTCCTATAGTAGTTGTTAAGGGTAGGGGGAGCTGTTAGTTGAAACTAGACTTGGAAAGATTTCCTTATCTAAACAGAAACAGAATAGGAGGAGGAAGCAGAAGGAATGGGAGTAACTTCCTGTCAGCTTCTTCATGGAGTTCCCTTGTGGAAAGCTGGCAGGGAACATCAGAAATCAAACATACAAAATGAGGCCAATGCATAGGAAAGAAGACATTATATAAATTTTATAAGCTGTATAACAATTATATATTAGAGAAGGAGAAATTATTCATATAGGAGCAATATTTAAATATAACTTTGGACAGAAGAAATTCCTGTGCTTCCAATGGTTGAACTGTTATAGACAAGATAAAAAAACACATAGGTTTTTAAAATCTGATTTAATTAGTTGCTCCAAAAGAAAATACCATTATAAATAGGCATGTAACATTGTTCCATAAAATACAACCTTGTAATTGGTAATAATTTTCCGTTTTTAAAAAAAGGACAAGTAGCTTTCTCCTTACAACCCTGCCATGCTTATTTTTTCAGAGTTGACCTGATGTTGGTCTTGTGAAAATTTATATTTACCAACGAAAGAGAGATTAGTTCTTTAAATGTTATTCTGAGCATCGTTTTTTTTTAAGGTTGTCAAAACTCTTCTTTGTTTGAGCTGACACAGTTCCACATATTGGTGTTGTGAAGATACTTTGATATGAATACCCAGAATTCTGTTCTTTAAATAAGGCTAGACCTCCTACACTTGACCCTGATTTCAACTAATTGATTGAAACCAGATTCTAGTTTATCTCAAATGAATTGATAAATCTAGAGATTTACATGCTCTTGCCACACACAAACCTGTAGCTTTACATTATTTTCATAAATGAACAAGTACACTATTTTGACTTTTTTTTACTTAACTGGTTCTTTATCCAGTTTTAGGATTTGTGCGGAGGACAGATCGTGCTTTAGGTCACATTTATGCAGCAATATTAATGATTCCAAAAGGTTCAGAAACTTTTAGGAGCCACTGTATGTTTATTCATACCTTTATATTTGTTACAGGTAAATTGCCTATAATCTTGTAATTTCATGATGAAAATAGATCAAAGAGTTTTCAAAGGACTTTCTGTTTATAAAGGAATAGCAGATTTATCCAGGAAAGGTAATCATGCTAACACTCAATATCTCAAGATAAATGGATACCTTCTTTATTGAGGGAAAACAAGAGATGAAGAACAGCAATTCCATGTTGCTGTTGCAGAAATGAGATTCCCCAAAGTATGCTGTTTAAAAAGTTAGTCACTTCTGATTTCCCACAGTGGAAACCTTGGCTAATCCCAAACTGGCCATTAGTATCCTTCATTTATTTAAATGGAAGATGTCACTGAGGAAAAACCAATTACGACACACAATGCAAGTAGTAAGTATACAACTCCATCACCCAAATACTTATTAGCGGAACAAAACAGATTCAACCTGACATGCTTCGTGAAAAGCAGATAGGCTCCAGTTAGTATGAGCTAAGTCTCTTGTGTAAAACCTTTTGCTGCCCTTCACCCAGGAGTGTTAACAAGGTGGAGAAAACTTGTCAAGCATGGATTTGGGGTTTTTTTTTTTTCAACTCCTTCCCTAGCAGTAGGTATGGAAAGCCCCTATATTATATTTTGTGTAACCAGGTGAAGTGTATTTGTTCTGGGTCATTCTTCATCTATACACGTTTTTGCATATGTATGCACCAGGAAGGATAGCACAGGCTACAGAAGCTCTTGGGTCAGAAATCAAGGGGAAGGAGAGAAGAGGGTTTAAAATGAAGCAATCTTTCAACCAGGCTGAAAAGAATAAATTACCACAACAGCCTGCTAGATCAGTAAACCCATCTTATTGTAGATTCTTTCAGGATAGTAGTAAAACCAGGTTTCTTTTATTGCTCAGCAGCTCTGGGCTGCATTTTTCAGCATTTCCTTCCCTGTCAATCAATCTATGAAAATCCAAATGCTGTTTCCGTTTGGTCCACCTGCAGCAGTTCTCTTCAGTCTGAAATTTATGTTGGTGATAGGAGATAAAAACAGAGCCTTCCTTGTGTTCTTACCCAGCCTTAGCACAAGCAAGAAGCAGACCCCTTGTCACGAAAACCCTCTCTTTATTTACCTCTTGTGAATTAATTGCATTCACCCACCGAAAAGTCCAGGCAAAAATTTGCAAGAAGTTAACAGCAGCAACAGACCTTATCAGTTTCTTGTGATAATTGCAAGGCCTTGAGCTCCCAGCCAAAAGGCTGCAAATTACTGGTAAGTTCTGGCAAGCAATCTTTAATGCAAGAAACACAATGAGCAAAATCTCCAGAAATACAAACTTGTCTCCTACGACAACCACTTCCCTTTCCTTCTATTTATTCCCCAGCCAGGAGGAACCATTCAATGTCCACATGTGCTTTGCTTCCCGAGTTGACTCCTTGCCCTCCGTTGTTCACTTCTCCTAACTGCTCTGTGCATACATGCATCTGGAACAGGCCCCAGCTGTTCTTCCTCCTCACTCATCTCAGCCTCCAAAGACAGTTGCTCTCCAGTGGCTGGGAAATGTCAGACAGCCCTGGCTGTATCTCTGAGTCCGACACAGACATCTATCAGAGTCCTCCTAGAACTGGCCCAAGTTCTTCCCCAACTTCATCATCTGAGTCTGCTGCTAGCTCTGCTGGTGGCTGGCAGGCCATAACACCTTGCTTCACCGTTTCTGAATCTCCATCTGTACTCTTAATTCCATTTCCCTCCTCTGTAATTAGGCACCACCATAGGAATCCCTCTCTTTGGATCTTTACAAGAGCTATAGGCCTTACTCTGACATTTTCAGCTCTTCCCCTCAGGGCTATGCTCATGGAGGAGGGGAGAAACTTGTCTTTAAAGTCTAACCGTCTACGTGTTCTTGTTTAAAATCTCTGATGTCCTCTTTCTTCCAGAAAAGTAACTGTGCATGTGAGAAACGTATTGGACATAATATTCTTAATAATCAGTTACAGGTATGTGGATGACCTTGTCTTCCCACACTGTCCTATTTCATGATGTCTCCTCTGCACTCCACAAGCAAGAATATCCATAAGCATTTTAATATCAACCTGAATTTCAGGAAATTTGCTGGACTTACCAAATAATCATTTTTCATTGTTCAGAAAGTATAACTTTTAAAAATGATTGTATGACTACATCAAAGACAAATTTTTTAAAAAATAATTTTGTTAATAGACACCTTGCAAAACCATTATTTTCTGGAGTTCCTTTCACATAACTGTTGAAATTATTTACAAGACCAGCAATATATGCAATTGCAATAACCTTTTATAAAGCTATGGCTTTACAGTCACAGAAATGGATAACTGCATCAAAAAAAGTCAATCCATGAGGGCACGTTTTCATGATTTTGAAAACTTCTGATACTAGTTTACCAGGAAATCAGTCTTGTAGAAAAATGAGCAATAAAATAATTGAAGTAATTTTAAACAATAAATATAGAAAGAGTTTATTAGGGCCTTAATTGACCTCGAGTGCCAGTTCCATATCTCTGGGGAACATTAATGAAGCCAGTCCTGAATCCATGGGTTACTCCTGTTCCTGGCAATCCAAAGCCTTGAGTGAAGACACTGCTATAAGGTACAGTTCCATGGTTGAAGTTCAATCCATAGGGCCTTGTCTGAGTGTTCATGAGAATGATAGGGTTCATATTTTTACCTGGTGTGTTAAAAGCAAATTCTGGAGGTGGACTGCTTGGTTTAGTTGGAGTGGATGTAACATGGTCAGAATTTTCCGCTGCTTTTAGAGATGGCATTGGAATAATGTAATGATCTGAAAGGTTCAGCATATTGTTCCCGATAGGTCCAGTAGCCAAAGTAGGCCTAATCCAGTCATCTTTGAAAATCTGAACAGTCAAAATAGATACTAACGCACTTAACCGATTTGTCACATGTGCAAGTACCAACTGTTCATTAGCATCTCTTCGAATTCTCACATGAACTGATCCAGCCTAGAAGACAAATTAAGAAAAGCTCATCAGTCTGTGACATATAAAACTGGTAGACAGGGACAAATGCACAATGAGAAACACAATTTTGAAATAATTTAGTAAACCCTGCAATCACTAGATGAGAAACTATCAGAATGTATTTCTTCATTCTTGCTTTTTAGAGAAAAAAGTCATTAGTGGATAAATACATACCAGTGAACCAAACCCCAATGTCCAGAAGTGTTCATTTCGAACTTCTAGAACTCCATCCAAAGTAGAAACCTGGTTCAAGACATAGAAAGATACTGTATAAAATAATAATAAAACAATAATATGACTGTTTGGAATAAGGGGTCCTTGGTGTTCTCTGAGCTTGCTTGTTTTCTAACAGGTGTGTCATTACCCTTTACCACTGTTTGTAATAGCTTAATAAAACAAATCTAGCATATTTTATAAATAAGAAGGCATTTTTGGATTGCCATTAGAGGTGTCCCATAATTTATTTATTTGATTTCTATAGCCATTCATCTCAGCAAGTGACTCTTGGCAATAAAACATTGCATTATGTTTTATAAAACTTAAAAACAATTAAAACCATTTAAACAGTACAAAATAAATATATATGGCAGCAAGTAAAAACGTTGCTATGGATGTTAATATAATCAGCAACTGGGGCTCTTAACACACTCTCACAACCAAGTCTTCATGGCCTTGTAAAAGGCCAGCAGGGTCATGGTTACCCTCAACTCTGAAGGGAGAGAATTGAAGAGGGCAGGGGCGATGCAGAGAAGGCATGTCTCCTGGTTCCCATAGCTCAGTGGTTCCCAAACTTGGCTCTGCTGGCTGGAGAATTCTGGGAGTTGAAGTCCACAAGTCTTAAAGTTGCCAAGTTTGGGAACCACTGCCATAGCTGACACACCTTGGCTGATAGGACCTGAAGCATGTCCAACTGCCTGACCAAACTGGACAGATAGAAACAACTGGGAGAATATGGCCCCAAACTATGAAGGCCTTTTTTATATTAACTTACCTCTCGTATAAGTTTATCTAGTTGTCCAATCACATGAGGTGGTGTCGTCTAAAAAAAAGGTTTACAATTTCACAATGTAATTTATTCAGCCACAACACAAATGATTAGTAATTAGGATGCTGTTAAAGTATGAGCAATCAGTATCAAGAAATACATCTGACTAGATTATGTGAACGCTTCTGAAAAGAAAGATACATTATTCAAATAGGATTTTTTAAAAGTTTTGCTGAATGGGTGAGTTCACATAAGCAGCACCTCTTCTGTGTTTGAACACAGACATACTAAACCACAATGTTAGTCCTTGACAATTTGTTCTTTTGTAACAAAGTTCTGGTATTATTAAAAAAAATTCTACAACACTATGAGTCATCTACCCATTTAATTTGTCTAGAGATTTAGCCATCTTTGTTATTGGCACCTATAGTGGAGTAAACCCTATTTGTTCTATCTCCTAGGACCTAGGTTACCTATTATTTTAGCTTCCTGACAAATTTAGGACCTTTCTGATGCCAGTTACCATCCAAAAACTCTAAAGAGTACCCTGATAGAGTATCCAGATTCCTACTCTAAGATGAGTTGCCATCATTTGTTATAGTTGGAAATTAGCCTTCCCCCAATCTTTTGAGTCTGGACAATCCTTTTCTAATGTTCAAGAGTGTCATTACTGCAACCTGATAACAAGACAAAGGAGGTGATTTAATTAAAGGATTAGTCCTCAAGAAGTAGATCAGTCTAATTACATGTAAGAAGTTGTTAATCTAAAGTATCTATTGAGAATAAATGGAGAGGATAAACTGTACACATGCAATCTATAGAACAAATAAGCACAACGATCTAGGTAATCACAGAGTCCATTCTAAAATAATTAACCTTACTGTCTCTTCCCTCAGAAGACAGATGAATCAACCTCTCCTCTGAGGAGAGCCATCCCTGCCTGCTATCTTTCTTTTTCTCCTATCAACTTCTAACCCCAGCACTTCTTACTAGGAAAATCTTCTTGCAAAGAATATGCAAGTTATCATTCCAATTAATTTAATTAACCAATTCTGTACTGACAGCTACTGCAAGTCACAAAACTTTATCTGTATTACTATGATCTACAAGGCTGAAGATATGATAATAAATTGATAAATAGTACTACATGTAAAATTAGAAGTTAGGTTGGACAAAGATATTTAGTGGTCATTGGAATAAAGGGTAAAGTTGCTCTTAACCTCTATTTTTAAATAACAAATTGTCAAGAAAGGGTTCATAAAGCAAGTTCTTTGATGCCAGACCTGTCATTAAAGAATAACGCTTAATTGTTTTCCAGAATTAATTATTGTGGTTGTTTTGCTGACCTCAGTAAGCAATGCTGCTTTTTTGGCTACACTCTAACTGCTAGTACAAAGTCTTAACTCTTTGTCTCACCTGAAGCAATACCTTTCCACTGTAGACACTCATGGGATACATGGTACCAAATGTCATCAAAGCAATAGCCACTGCAGAAGCTGTATCAACTGCAAAATAATTACTGAAAGAGAAAAATATAACATTATAGGCATCCCTGTTTTTCAGTATCAAGCTTCTGTCAAATGTTATCATTCCAATGAACAGTACTTACTTAATTTCGATTAACATGTATGTAATACAAAGAGCTAAAGCCCCAGCAAGATCAATCAAGATGAATGGATTCATACGTGGAAGGAAGATGCTACTCAGCCCAGGAATGATACCACACAAGCTAAAAGTAACAATAAATAGTATCAATTAGTGAAGAAAGCTAATAACACTCTTATTATGCATATGGCAGTAGCTCCTACAGTTGCTCTCTGAAATATACCAATGGGATAACTCTGATGCAAAAAATCCCAAAAAATAAAAATAAAATAAAAATCTTCATCTGAAATTTTAGAATGCTGTTGGAAAAGAAGATAATCTAGAGCTAAGTAAAAAAAAGAGTTTGAATCCATATAATCAAATTCAATTCCTCATCGCTACAGGTATATGTCAATGCATTTTTTCTGGCTACCAAAAGTGTTTTTTTCTCCCATTGTCTTATTCTAAAACAAAATTTTAGTACTCTGAATTAGCATTCAAATATTAAACAGTTTGGTCTATTGCCATTAGCATCTTGCCAACTGCAACTAAGATTTGTATTAATCGTTAAATCTGTGCCCAATTTATGCCAGGTTCTCTAAAAGACAATCTTCACCCATATAATCCTATCTGAACATTAATAATGTTTTAGGTTAGGATTACATTTTGGGTACTCTACATGTCTTATCTGCATATTTTAACAATTTTTATGAGTATGTTGAATTGTAAGGATACAGCTTTTTTCAAGAAACATTAATTAAGACAGTTTGTGTACCCAATGATTATTAGATAACAGGAACATGACTTTAAGGAAATTTGATACTATTTGCTTTTTACCACTTAAGACTTTCATATTAACTCATAAATGGGTGAAAAGGAACGTGCCCCCTTTCAGCAGAACAAAATTTAATCTAATATTCTTTTAGCAAACTCAATTATTTTCATATTCTTGAGCTGTGACTTTGATTATAACAATTTGTCAACCTTCTTTATATTCAACACAAATTATCTGGCCATTTGCCTAAAGAAAAAATAAACATAGTTTAAAAATAGAAACCAACACCCTTCCGTGAGAAAGTGATTATAAACAAAAAAGACAAGAAGATGCCATTTCAATAAATCAAATTTCCACAGTATAACTTCCAAACAATATATATTTGGCAATGGCAACAAATCAAAAGAATGTCACAGTGGCCCACACCCACAAACTTGGGCTGCTAGTCTCATTAGCTCTGTCTATGTCACAGTACAAAGTTGCTAAGAAACAGAAATTTCCAGCTATTTTCAGGGAACTACCAGAATTTAGCATAAGAAAGAACTATTTTTTTAAAATTGTGTTTGCTTTCTTCTGAGTGTTTTAAATTTATTATTGCTTAAAACCCATACTAGAAACTCTCTCTTTCAAAGACCAAGCTAATACCTAGAATTGGCTATGCAAGCGCATTAGGTTTTTAAACTAATATTAAGTGCAAATGCAGATAAAGATGATTTACCTTCTAAATACCATCTCTGCTTAGCAATTCATTTTTACAAATGGGGGGGGGGGGTTTGGACCAGCTGACATGCTTCAAAGTAAGCACCACCCTCTAATATCATATTTGCATCACAAGAGAGCTCCTATATGCATTCTTAGAAAATAAAAACAGTGTATAGCTTCAACCCACATTTTCTTTAAAACAATGAAAGACTATGGTAAGGTAAGCTGGTAGTGAGAGAAAGTATCTAAGACAAGGGTGTCAAACTGGCATCATGCTCGGCCACGCCCACCCCAGCTCCACAAAAAAGTCTCGATATGTCTCGATATATCATATGACATGATTGAGTTTGACAACTCTGATCTAGGAGATAAAAGAGATATGGATAACCTAAGTATCACACCTTGAATTTGGAGGCATGGGGACCCAACCTTCCAATTCTGGGACCACCTGGAATGAGCCATGTTTTAGAAATGGACTGAACCAGAATTTTGATTTTTTTTCTTAGCCTGTAGAAAAGTTATTTTACCTGTGCTTTACACTGTAAGAGGTAGGAAAAAAAGTTTGAGACTACATAAAGTCCTACAGCAATGTTTTTCAAACATGGTAAGATGCTCAATGAGGAATTCTGGGAGTTGATGTCCACATATCTTAAAGTTGTCAAGTTTGAAAACAAGTGTCTTGAAGTTTCAGGATTATCACTTTTAAAACATGACAAGAAACTACCACATCACTCATCCACCTGATGGGTGTTTTAACAATAGAGCTATTTTGTTAATAAAAAAAAGTCTCTCCTGCCTCACCATGATGTCAAAATTAGAAATACATCCTTCAGGCCAAAGAAAATAGCACACTCTGATTTAGAAGGCCTTTCTTTCTAACTTACCTCCTAGTGAGATCTGCAACATGTTCCTGAAGCCAACTTGTACTTGCCGCTGCAGAGAATAGTGTAATTGCTCATTAAGAGAACATTCAAAATATCTTAAGTCTAATATAATCCTGCTCAAATCTGTATCAAGTTCAACTGTAGGGCAAAAGTTCTATCTGAAAATTTTACTTTATTAGCACATTATCTCCTCATTATCAAAAAAAAACAACTATTTAAACAATCCAATAATCTTCTAAGTATTCATTGACTTTTTTTAAAAAAAATGTATTCCTGGAGTGCTAGGTAAATGGAATTCCTTTATTGTTTTACTACAGTGTATATTTAAAGGAAGTTCTACCTTTAAAATCAGCCTAAATGTAAATTTAAATTAAACAATATATTATTCTACTAATTGAAAGCACAATTTTATAATTATGGTCAAACTGCGTTAAAAACAAAGACATAAAAAACTTTATTCAATTATAATGCAGCATGATTATGTTTTCAAAATACTATTAACCAGAATCACAAGAGCAATTGAAAAAGATTATTAGAACTTGAAGTCAAGATTATTTCTAGATGTTATTGCAAGACTAAACTACCACCCAAATCACACATCTGTTACATTACACTTAAATATAAGACCTGAAGAATTTTCATAGTCCACCCTTAAGTCAGAAAGAATTTGCGATGGAACATGAAAGGGCATATGAGGGTCCCTAACAGTTCTACATATTTTTTTTTCTTGTTAAGAATTTGCATAAATTGTACTAAGGAAGTTGCACTGAAAGAAGATTAAACTGATTTGGGCAAACAAGTTTAAATTAGAGGTAATCCTTGACCTACAACCATTCATTTAGCAACTGTTTAAAGTTACAACCGCACTGAAAAGTGACTTATGACCAATCCTTGCACTTAGGACCGTCACAGCATCCCCAATGGTGACATGATCAAAATTCAGGCACTTGGCAACCAGGATATATTTACAATGGTTGCAGCATCATGGCATCATGAGATCGCTACATGCCACCTTCCCAGCTGGCTTCTGAGAAGCAAATGCATGGGGGAAGCTGGGTTCACTTAACAGTTGCAGTAATTCACACAACAACCATGGCAGAAGAGGTGATAAAGTTGGCTACGACTCACTTAGCAACTTTGATACTTAACAGCTGAAATTGTGGTCATAGGTCAAGGAGTACCTGCACTTCCTCTTGCTGCATTTGTTCTCTCTTATAGTTAGCAGGCATTTGGGTACAGGGCTTGCAGGCCTGTCCATATCTTGCAACTCTCTAACATTTCAAATATGCAGATGTAGAAATCCAAAGTCATTTGCATAGTTCGGCATAAACATAACCATGTTTTTACACGAATCTAGACAGTTTCCAAAACCAAAATAATCAAAAGGGAAAATCCAGCAGTGCAGAGATCCCCAGCCAGGGAGTTAGCACCTGCAATGCAGTTATTGTTACACTTTTTCACATTTTCTAAGGTATTGAAAATGAGGATGCCTCTGCTATATATCTAGTTTCTTCTTAGTCCTTCTGAGTATTATCAAAGATTTAAGGGATGGAAGTTGTGTGTTTGCTGACAACAACAAATAACATTTGGCTACTAATTAATATAATATCATTTTTTTAACTTTTATTAAATTAAAATACATATTTTCTTTTTCAAAAAAATTATGTACCTTCAGACACGTAAGCAAATGGTTTGTTCTTAATTGAAAGCATTGTGAACAAGTTGAAAGTGAGTGCCACAAAGGTACCAACCAGCAATCGACCCCTAAAAAAAAATCTTTATCAATACAGCATATTGTCAGGTACAAAGTACAGGTATATTATTTATTCTTCATTACCATTAGGCTCCATTTAACTACAGTGGGTTTTTTTAAGTTCACCTGATTCCATTTAATTATATACAACTCTTATGTAAATAGAGAACTTATTAGCTGAGAGATTTATTAAATTTCTGTGCTGCTGTACAGGACTTTCAGAGGTTTTATGGGAATGCATGAGCCTTTAATAGAGAGATGCCCAACCCCATGTCACCTGTTCTGTTGGGTTTTTTTAGTCTTTAATCTATCTTAATTTTTAAATTGTTATCTTTTTATTATGCTGTAAGCCACCTAGAGTTGTTGAATGAGATGGGCGGCATATACATGAAATAAATAAATACATAAATAAATAAATACATAAATAAAAACATCTATGAGCCCAGTTACAATCATAAAAACCCTGAAACTTACAAAAACTATAGAATCCAAAAACTAGACCTCAAGTTTCAATAGCCCTTCAGAAGATATCATTTTTCAAGTGCTTCTGGATGGCAGCCAAAGTTGGAATCAACCTACATGACAGTGGGAGGCCATTCTTTCATGGAAAAGCAGCATCTTAGCCTTCTGCCCCAGCACAAAATGGGGAAGCACTTACTGATGGAATTCTTAAGACTAAACAAGCCAACCTCATTTTAGTGGGTGAACAAGAATGTAACTTAGTGCCAAGTAGAGGCCTTTCTATGTTAACATCAATATTTTAAATTGCAACAACAATCTGATAGGAAGGCAATGCAAGGTCTGTAGCACAAATGTAATATAGTCCCACAGGCAAATGTAAAACAGTACACAGGCAATTTTGCAATTTTGACCAGCTGAAGCTTCCTAATTGTCTTTAAAGGCAACCCCACATCGAGAGTGTTACAGTAATATAAATAAATGGGAACAAGGGCATGAATCACTGTAGCAAGATTTTCTTGCCCCAGGTAGAGCTCCAAATGGCACACTAGCCAAAGCTGGCCAAAGGTTCTACCATCTGTGGTTTCAACTTGCTGCTTAAGTAAGAGCTCAATTTGTGAGCCAGCCCTTCAAGGGAAATGATTCCTCATCAAGAGATATAGTGGAGCTTCCAGAGCACTTTAATGGACAAACTCTGTCTTGCTAGGATTCAAATTTAGCAAGTTGTCTCCCATCCAAACCCTCACAACTTCCAGACAAATCTAAAATCTAAAACAAAAATTTTACATTTCTTTTAGTAGCCATGGAACCCAAAACTATGATGAAATTACAGATAACATTAAATTTAAGCTTCTATTATTTAATATAAATCAGACAAAGCCTTTTAAAAAGACGTCTGCCCAATTCATTGCATGTATGACTTAAAGTTATCTCTATATAAAATCCATTTGTATTAAACAAGTATCCCAGATCAACAAATTCAGGTGGATTTTTGTCACTGACCTAAAAGTCATGACAGCATTTAATTTTCAGTTTTCTGCTTTAACAGATAAATAATGTACTAATGGACCTAGTCATTATGCCAATTTTATATACTTGTAATATTTATTATTAGTTAATTTTAAAGGCTTACGTATGAATCTCTGGCTGTTCAACAAATCGTTCAGCACTGAAAAGACACAATAAATCTGTTAGTCACATATATAGTCCTTCATGCACCAGCAAATCTATGATGTTTACTGTGAATAAAACATCTTATTATCCTTTGTAGCTGGAATGGCTGCCTCCCCATCAAAAGGACCTCATGCCTTGGGACTGATAGTGGTTCTGGTACTGAGGCTGAAACCTCTGTCTGTCCCTGTTAAACCCCCTATCCGCCTGTCTAGCCGGGTGAGGCTGATAGTACCTATGAGATGGTGTCTCGTGGTCTATAGGTCTGTAGGTCGGTCTGCGAAAATAAGGTGCCGGCCATTGTTCTGCCGCTTGGTGGCGAGGTGGGGAGGACTTTCTTTTTATCTTTGTTCTCGACCAATATTGGGTCAAGAGAGTCTCCAAATAAGGATCCCCAGAATAAGGTGCAGACGCTAACCTCCACTTGGACTTAGCGTCCGCCTGCCAGTTGTGCCACCAGATCAGATGTCTGGTGGCAACAGACGATGACAGGGCCCAGGAAGAGAACTACACCACTGTGAGGGTGGCGTCCGCTGAGAACTAGCTGGCAGCCAGCAGTTTATTAAAGTCCTGCTGGAGGCGTGCGTCCTGAGGGAAGATTTGTTCTTGAACCTGTTGTAGCCACAACAAGGATGTTCTATTGAAGAATGAGACAACTGAGGCGGCTTTAATTACCTAGGCAGTCACCTGAAAGTTTTTGCAGAGGGTGAGCTCCACGTTCCTGTCCTCGGGTTTGACGTTGTTAGCAATATCCCCCGCCACTAGGACAGAGGATGTAGCCAGGGCTCATCAACTGTTGGAACCTGAAGGATGTTGGTGAAAGTTTTATCCATGTTATAGAATTGGCTGTCACTATCCCCTAGGTTGGGAAACGCCCCTGGGCGGGTCCACTGATTTTTGACAACCTTGGAAAAAAGTTCTGGGACAGGTATCTCCTCCTTGTCCTGTTGTAGCTGAGAGAATAGGGTACCTTTCTTGGCCTGCTGAGGTTGAGCTGTAGGTGATTGAGCAGGAGGAACCTAGGGAGGTAACTCCAATTCAGCTGTTGCCCTGGCCTTGCAAAGGAAGGACAAACAGCGATGGAGGAAAACAGCCAGAGAATGCAGGAGGGTCGGTTTTGGAAGACTCCTCGTCCTCTGAAAATCAAGGTCCCTCTGGGGCTCCTCTCCCAACAAGGATGCTTCACTGGCTACCGAAGGTGAGGTAGGCTTGACCTCAGTAGGGGCCCTTGTCTCCCTGCGTATGGAGCTATGCCCTTTGTTCTCAGGTTGTTTGGCAGGGGCCTCGTCTTGATGGCGTAGGCCAGAGGCAATGCCATGTGAAATGGCCTGTGCGCTGATTTGTTGCATGCGCTCAGGGATGTCCTGCATGAAATCCTCAGGGAGTGACTCATCCCTTGAAGGGGATTTATCCCTAATGGTCAGAGGACCCCTAGGAGCTACAGAGGTATGAGGAATCATGCTGGAGGTGGTACAGCCAAAGGGATTACCCTGTAACTCACCCACATTTCTAGCAGACAAGGGGGGGGGATTTTCCTGCCCCTCCCAGAGCGTTGGGGAGAAAGGGAAAGGGCTCTTCTCCTCCTGATGGATCTGGACCTATGAGCAGGGCTGATGCTGCGGTCTGCAGAGACTAAAAGCCTCTCAGCTCTGGCCACTCTTTTTTCTAGGGCTTTCTGCCTGCCTTGTTCATCCCTCCCCACTGCCCTGGATTGGCGTTGAACCACAGGGGCTCTGCCTCTTTTGGACTTGGACTTCCTGGATGGGCTGGATTGGCTCTGGGCATTGGAAGTGCCAGCCTGCCTACTGGGGCTATTGCGAGGCATGGCTAAGCCAGGCTCTGCCACTCATGGCCCTTGATAACAGCAGTGGTGCTCCAAACAATGTCTGAGGCTTTTCTTCTGCAACTCTCTTCAGACTCAGATCAAAGTGATCGGCTTATCTCTAAGCTGATTGCAGTTCTTTCCACATGGTGGTGCTTAAAATGGCCGCCACAAGCTGCCTGTGCTTTCGGAACCCAAAATGGCCACTGCTCCTCTCTGTGGAACTCTGGAGCCACCACTGTTTGTGCAGCTGCCTCAGGAAGCCCAAACAGATGATTTTAAGGAGCCTCTCAACCTTCGCAAGGATCCCGCTGCTCCCTGAGGCCAGTCAGGCAAGGATCTTCCACTTGTGGGGTTAGACTGCCTCTCTAGAACTTCCAGCAATTTAGAATTGAATTGTTCAATTAATCTGATTTTCTTTTTAAAATTGTTCAAGGATTGAGAAATTAATTCAGAAGTGGAGCCAAGGAAAATACTTCTTCTCTTAGACCAGACTGAGTTAATCTGGGCCAAGGAAGAAGGAGAGTCATAGGCATGGCTTCTGAATTATTGACTAGTCTCTCGACCAATCAGGCTATGAAAATACCCACTCCTGAGCCATCCTGCTGTATCCATGGAGAACATCGTATTATCCTTTGTAGCTGCTGTTTTTTTTAAAAAAAAAGTTTTCTAGAACTGGAAATACTATTATCTTTGAAAATGATTAAATAATAAGCACAATAATACCTTTCTTTAAGTATAAAAAGTGCTCCAAGTTGTGCAAGAACCGTAGAAGCAAATACTGCTAGGACTTCAAATCTCTCAAATCTGCAGTTTTGGAAATTAAGCATTTAAAAATCAGTGCAAATAATAAAGACTATTAATCAGAAAGTATAATGCATTCATTGAGGTGGGTGCAAGAAGGTATGCTAGAAAATTAACATGTGCTATTTACTTTTGCTGTTATTTTCTTTTTATTAAAACATTTTTAAAAGTTAAGTTAAGGGAAGGCCAGATAAGTTGGGCAGCTGAATAATTTCCATGTATTTTGGAATTATTCTGTTCTATTAAGTTCTATGATTTAATTCATGCCACCTAGCAATTAGGGTGTCATTGTTAGGCAACACCACGCATGAATAGTTTTGATTTTACATGCAGTTAAAAAAAAGCAGGTTGGGCGCCTTAAAGTTTGGATAGCTTAATTTTAGCTTTGTGGCAGATAGGATTATTTTACGTTACTGAGGTTGATGAAAAGCTATGTATCCTCTGCTATCTGTTCATAATGAATTTGCAAAGGCTGAATAAGGGACAAAGTGTTAACTTAGGTTTAGCTCCTCTCTCTCGAGGACTTCACAAAGATGTCCTATTGTTATCTCAGCAACAGTATGAACTTACTTTTTTTGTTTGTTGCAATTTGTATTTATATTGTTGCTTTTATTCTTGATACATTTTATAACGTAAATTTAATTCACATAAGTAGCTTGGATAATACATTTGTATGACAAGCGCAAATTATAAAATCTTATATGACTAATAAAAGAAAATGGCTCTGAAAGGAGATTGCATATAGATACCAGTTTACTACACCTAACTGAAACAAAACCGTGCATATTACAGCTTCATTTAGCTACAGTTTGAACTCCAAGGCATCAGAGATTTCAAAAATACAGATTACATTAAACACATCTAGTAAGAAATGTAAAAAGAAATTTCCATTCTTGCAAATTAAAAATGCACTTTCCCCCTTACGTGATAAGAAAGATTTACTTCCATAAAGAGAATAAAACTATATAAGGGCCCCAGAGTCTACATAAAACTGCATAGAGCCTGATCTGTTCTATCAATCACAGACTGGTGATTTCTGGGCTGCTAATATCATATTTGATCAAATAAATATAATATGCATATTTCAAATTAGCACCCTTTAATTTCTTGGGCACATATCAGTACAGTATTGAACATTACATATAATGCTCTTTTAACGTGTGCATTATAATTTTCTTGAATTTATAAAATCTCTTTATAAAGAAAATTGATCTAATAAATTAATAACATGTTTATTTCATAGTAAAATAATATTTTCAAAAGAAACAAAATATTAATTATCCAACTTACCCAAATGAATATGAGGAACTAGGCTTCTTCATCATCACCCAATAACTTATTAAGCATGTTATTAAGCTAAATAAAAAATGAAACAAAAATTAAAATAAGAGAAATGTAGCTATTAAAAATTATATAAAATAAATCCAGAATTTCAACATTCAATTATCATTTAACATATTAAGGAATTGCCAATAAAATAAATCCTTAGTTTAACATCCTGCTGAAGGGGAGGTTGGTATATGAAATATGAATTTTTATTTAATCCAAATGTATGTAATTTTCATTAAAATATATAATTATGTCATTATGTAAATAAAGTGGATTGATATAAATGATGCAAATTGATGAAAACTGTCTAGACTATTTCAGAAACAATGGGCATGTCTCTTGCATCTAAAGTCTGCAAATTGGGTGCTTTTTTCAGGTTGTGTCAGATTTTCTGTTCAACTGTCTCTTTAAATCAATTAATGCAGTGGTAATACCCTACATATGTTTAGTCAGAATTAAATTCCATTGTGTTGACAGACTTATTTTTTTATAAGAGTATTGCAATCTCAGTTAATGTAGGTGAGTATGAGTTAATCTTGAAAAAGCAGGAGTTGTTATGTAAACACCAACTCAGTCCTGAGAAAGAGGGGGTGAAAATGATATTCAAGATCACCCCGCTTTGATTCTCTTTAATATACGACAGACCAAAGAGAAACCTATTAGGCATACAAGATTTTGTTATTATACTTTACAGCAATATAGTAGAGATCCAGTTGTTTCTAGAACCAGTAGATATCCTGTGGTTTCCTGACCTGGCCTATGTTATGGGGCTGACAGGGATATTTAAAGGCTTGTCATTTATTTAAAAAGCAAATAGTTTTTACCACCAAATTACATAGAAAACAAAAGTGGGGATTAAAGACAAAATATACTGCTGTCATAATGGGACTTAAGCATGCTTAAATCTCCTTTGTTTGCAGATCTTTGAAAAATGTCTCTCTCTGTGCTGTATGTGACATTAGAAAACAGTGGGATCTATTTTTATGGACTTATCTCCTATGCATTGAAAAGTCACTTAGGGTGCAATCCTATATCATATATCTGGCAATCCAATCCACTTAAGATTTAATCTTAAATAGATACAAATGGGACTGCATTTTACTTAACTAAGAGAAACAGGATTTATTAGGGAATATTAAAAGCTTTTTACCATAACCCATGGATTTGGATAAAAGGACATTATTTTTACAAGTGTTACAAAATTAACTGATGAAAAAAAGGAAACATACCTGAAAAGATCAAAGATTGTTAGATAGGTATATGCAGTTAAAGCTGTGGAAAGAAGATGGCCATTTTACTGTGACATAAACAAATGTTGAAAATAATTTAGTTAACTTGCCTGTAAGTAAATAAATGTACTGTTGCTTTTAATAAACAATTGTTGGGCTTTATGCAATTTCCTATTTAATAAATATGCATCTACCAAATCACAAAGCTTGTCAAGAAACTTGTTTAGACCTCTGGGACTTTTTTTGTATGGTGGCATCGGTCAAGGTTTGGAGGTTATTTGTGAATTTTGTATGGGAGTTTTCAGGTGTTATTGCAAATGCCATAATAGTGGATATTCAACAGAGGAGTTGGTGGATTTACTGCTAGGATTTCAGAAGTTTTGTATGTGCTGTGAGATTGAGGACTACAGAGTGAAGACTGAAGAAGTTAAGGAAAAGAAATAAAATATATGAATAGTGCATATTCATTGGTTCTCGGTGAAGGGTAAATTGTTCCTTGCATAAGACGGATGTGTCAAAGTGGTTATGCAAGTTACATAGTTTGGCAGAATCATAACTGTAAGGAGGTTCTTAAGACAACTCAAGGCCACTATTGTGGGAAATCTTAGCAACATAGAGCCGCAGCAGACAATTAAGGGAGGAAGCATACTGTTACAAAATAGATTCTTGAGAGCAGAAGAGCATCTCTCTTACATTTCTGCCCTTTAGATCAATGCCTAGAGCAGGAGTGGAAAAACATTTATCTACCAACTGTCACATTTCCTTAAAATAATGTGCAATATTTTCAGAAGGTTTTTAACTATTTTAAGTTTTTATATTCAATTTTCAGGTTTTTAATGTTCTATGTTTTTAATATTTGTATACTGCCCAGAGTCCCTCTATGAGGAAGATGAACAGTTTCTAAATGATAAATAAAGATCACATAATAGTGACAGGAAGAGTCAGTATTAGTACCTCCAGACACATTCAAGATCATTAGTATATAACTTCTCCATCTGAAGATATAAAACTGCGGTCCCAAGAAAATTGGGCATGACAATTTAAAAGTTATCTGTGTATTATGCAAATAAAAATGTAGACCGATCTTCAGTCATGAACCTATACAACATTAATCAAAGAGTTATACACTGCTATTCCTATCTATAGCCTCCTTCAATGTTTTATCCCCATCCCCACCAAAACAAACAAGACATTGAGTTGGATAGGTATGTGATGGGAGTCATTATGTGGGGTTTTTCATATAGAAAGTGAAAATAAAAGTTTTAAACTGCAAATCAGTCTATATAGCCTGTGTCTCCAGACAAAAAGCAATAACAAGGAGCACTAAAGATAATCTATGCTGCACAATTTAAGAATGACATAGACAGTCTAATATATACGGTAGGTAGCCCTCGGTTAATGATCACTCATTCAGTAACTGTTCAAAGTTATGACCGTGCTGAAAAAGTGGTGCTTATGACTGGTCCTCAAAGTTCCAACCATTCCGGTAGCTCCATTGTTTTGTCATCATAATCTGGGTATTTAGCAACCAGTGATGGTTGGAACTTCCCACAATTACAAAAACACAGTTTGTGGGCCACCTGCACATCTTCCTGCACCTTCCAAGCCTCGTTGCATTTGTACCTTGCGTCTCTGTCCATTCATGCATCTTTCTCCATCCATCAGCAACCACTTCCTGTTTACCAGCCTGTTTGCAAGCCATCTGGGAATTGCAATTTCCTGCTAGCTTTTTACACTGATCGGATGTTAGAAGTCAGCGGGATTTTGTGACAAGGTGGTCATTTAATGATCCATGATCTTGACTTAACAATGGCAACGGAGACTGCAGGGATTGCTGTCGCTAAGTAATACAGGCATAAATCACATTGTGTTCTACAAACATGTCATTTAGAGATGAAAATTCCAGTTCCAAATTGTAGTCCTAATACAAGGACTATCTGTACCTGCAATAGTTGTTTCAATTTTTAGATATTTTAGCACAATTTTATCATAAAGCACGTGCATCCATCTAATAGAATTGTGGGCATCAATAAAGGTAAGCAAAGTTTCACATTTAGTAGAATTAATTTTGATTTATCTTAATATCCTTTCACATCATCAAATAATAAGAATGACTTTAGGAACAGAAAAAGTAAAAAAAAAAGCTAGCTATCAATAATGCTTACAAATACAATTTTATGTCAATATTAAATAGCTTTTGTATAGCTCAATCATCTCATTAAAAGGATAACATACCTATGCTGTTTGTAGAACTACACCACATAAGCAGGAATGCAGTACATAATATATTTATTGTACCAAACAGCAAGATCTTCCATGACTATAAATAACAAGAGTTGAAACAAGTTTAGTAAAGAGGGTTTTATTGGGGAAAAAATCCTTATAATCTACAGATAAAATATTGAACATTCAGCTCAAGTTTCCCATGGCTTTAATCTCTTTGCTGAAAAAAGAATGCATAGTCTAGGATCAATGTATTCATAATTTTTCAAATAGTGATTTATTGACCAACAGGTAGTCTTCGGCTTATGATTATTAGAATCAGAATTTTTCTTGCTAAGCAAGGTGATTGTTAAGTGAGTTGTGCCTAATTCTACAACCTTTTTTGCCACAGTTAACTGAATCACTACAGTTTAGTGAATCCAGCTTTCCCCATTGATTTGGATTGTTAGAAGCCTTCTAGGAAGGTCATAATTGGAAATCATGTGACCTTAAGACACTGCAATGGTAAATACATACCAATTGCCAAGCAGCCAAATTTTGATCTTGTGACTGTGTGGATGCTGAGATGGTTGTAAATGCAAGGACTGGTCATGAGTCACTTTTCTTAGTGCTGTTATAGCTTCACACAGTCATTAAAAATGGGTCAAGGACTACCTGTTCATCTAAGTTCAACAGCTTTTTCTCTTCAGCATTGCACAGAGTTCCTTGGCCCAGAATACTATTTGTTAATCAAACTCAATAAAAATAAAATGAATGCATGTTGACAGTTGCACTATTAACAAAGAAAAGTTAAAAAGACACAGACTTAGATAAACGAATAGATGTAACAAATTGAAAAAAGCTAAATCTCAGATATTCACAACTAATAAAGAAAATACTGACTGGAACATTTTCCCCATTTGTTTATTTGTCAGACTGACATTCTACTTCCATCAGCACATGACATTCAACAGGGCTAAAAGAAATAACTATAAAATATTATGTAACACAATGAAAACTCAATTAAATCCTATTAGAAAATTCCAGAAAATAATAATAAAATCTCAGCTTGCTTCCATCAGCCAAAAGCCACTTCCATGTCAAAGGCTTGCTTATAAATATTAAGCATATTTCAATCTCTCTATCCTATAATGTTGCTCAATAATAATCGTATGTTAGATACATCTCATAACATCGAAGTTACAGTTATTATGCAATTTACAAGAATAAAAAAGGTTTACCAGTAACAAAGGAACAAATATAAGGAAAGTATAGGGAGCAACTGGAACAGGAAATAGGTTAAAAGTGATGGAGTAACAAATCAGAGTCATTGATTCTGTATACATGTTTAAGACTCTGTAAAAATAAGCATCTATGTATTAAATTATTTTCTTGCCCGTAAATGCAAACACTTACCCTTCGATCAGCAGTTACTGTTCTAAATTCCTGTGTTAGCTTGCCCAGAAGAGACCGCTGTGATTTGCGAAACAAATATATTGTTCCCTACAAAGAAGATAGCAATAGTTGTTTACTAAATTTTCTATTTTTTTCTAACATTCCAATTCATGAATTTGATTTCTACATGCAATCTATCACAATAAATATAATCTCCATGCTAACATTTAAAAAGTAACAAAACACTCACTGATGGTACGGTAAACCCATTAATATATACAGTTTATATCAGTGATTCCCAACCTTTTTTTGCCCCACCTAAGCATCTCTAAAATCCTGATGCCCCGTGACATATAATTCTTACTTTACTCAAAAAGTGAACTCTACTCAAACAGAGAAAGCCTAAAAGGCCATTAACTTGGTTTAAACAAGGTTCATATTTCCCCCATTAAAAATCAAATTGCCCCCCTATGGGGTGTGGGCCCCACATTGGGAACCACTAGTCTATATAAAATGTGTACCTTACCTCTGTTAAAATGCTAGGTTTTTGATATGTAAAAAAAAAGAAGGCCAAGATATACGCTCTACAATTCAATTGAAAAACAAACTGAAAACATTTAGGGGGGAAATAATAATAAATATTAGAATAATGTGGCTGCATAACTGTGCACACCCTCTTATAAGTAGGGATATGGTTGTGTTCAGAATTAACCAATCACATTCAAACTGATGGTAAATAGTAGTCAGTACACACTTGCCATCAATTAAAGTGATTTGATCAAGTCCATATAAAGTCCAGCACTGCTAGTAGGATTTTTATGCTATTTACTCAATTGCCTCTTAAGCAAAAAGTCTGTAAAGAGCTTACAAAGTATAAAGGGATCTCATTTCAGAAGAAGGGTATAAATCCCCCCCCCAGTGGTGGGTTGCAGGAGGTACGCCCCGGTACAGGTGTACCGGTGCCTGCCCAGAGCACTGGGTACCATTCCGGTACAGTGCTCTGGAGGGTCCAC